TAGGAACTCTGGAGTATATAAGCAGAGGATTGAACTATGCACCTGCTTTTATGGACTTGAAGATAATTTGAGGGAAATAGAGTATAAGCATGAAAGAGTTTTAATGACATTAAAAGAGAACCTAGATAAAATAGTGCTGTGAAATATCAGAGGAGAGTCAGTTACATATGGCCTGGAGCAAGCAGTGATGGCTGCTCCAGGTGGGCAAGGCACACTCTGCAGCTGTAGGACAAAGGGTTTCTGGTAATGGGAGGAGAGAGAAGTTAACCAATTTATTGAATCATTTCTGTGTTCTGGGTATGATGATAGGTCCTTTAACCCACTCAGCAATGTTGGGAAATTATTACTAGTATACCAATTTTAAAGATCGATAAATTGAGGCTCAGAATGAATGTATCTTTCTCAATAGCAGAGTCTGTGAGTGCAACATGTAATTTTTTTTAATTAATAGAGAGTAGAGATGTGAGACCAGAGCAATCCAATGAAAGGAAATAATATGAACACAATGAAGAGGCCAAGAGTCATAAGAGGGAGAGAAAAAAATAAAAACATAATTTTGTTGGGTCAAAAGAAACTTGGTTGGCATCAGTGGGAATTAGTGGGTCCTGAGTGGCCAGGGTGTTGGGATCGGGAGAAGCGGGAGGAGTGCCTGGGAATTGAGGCTGACTTCAAAAAGCAACTGCAGTAGAGGAGGGGACCTGAGGGAAAGCAGCAAAGATCTTGCCTGGACTGGCAGGCAGCCAGGAGGGGTGTGTGGTCCAGTGGTATCAGATTTAGCTACCAACAGTACAGAAAATACTGACCCATACAATCTCCACAAGGTAGAAAGGCTGATTTTGGAACTGGATTTGGGCAAATCCTTCAGGAGGGACGGACATGGTCTTGAATCTGGTGTGTTGCCAGGCAGCTGAAGCAGAAGCAATGGTTCTTCACGTTCAGCCCGCAAGTCTTCCACTCAAAATATAAGCTATACTGACAGATGAAGTCTACAAACATACTAGAAAGCAAACCACTGCAAGAAACAGAAACAAGAAGCCACGAATTTAGATCCCCAAAAATATGCAGCCGTTGGACCAATCGGATATGGATTATAGAATGGCAGTGTATTAGGGGTTTAAATTAAAAAAGCAAAGAGCAATTATTTTATAATAAGGAATAATGAGAGTACTTTCATGAAAATGGAACATGCATAAAGAAAAAATCAGTAGCAATTAATAATAGACAGATTAAAAGGCAGACACACAAAGTTTGTGAAAGCATAAGTCACCCGGAAGATACATCCAAATACAGTTGACCTTAGAACAATGTCACAGAGGTGAGGACCTCACAAATAGTCAAAAATCAGCATATAACTTTTGAATCCCCCAAAACTATCTTGAATCCCCCAAAACTATTAATACTAACAGTGTACTGGTGAATTGAAGCCTTACCAATAACATTAACCT